TTTCTTTTATTTCATGATTTTTTACAACATAAGGTTTTTTGCGATATCGACACATATAAAGAATAATTTTTATCTTAGGATAATTATTCTTTATTCAGAAATATCGCATTTATAGCAATAGATGTGTCTTGATAACGACTATTGCTTTTACCATTCTTGTTTCTCTACAATTTAGTCTTTTTATTTTATTCATGTTTTTCATGTTAATTTGTGTTTATATATATATATATATATATATACGTATTATAAATCCATACGTAAGTATAAATGGAGGAGTTTGAATTCCGTGTGGATGAGTACGTGAGGTTCCAGGTACGTCCAGATAGGTGTTTATTTTATAGTTCCAGATATACACGTTTACCCATCAATTTTGAGCACCGTTCAAGAATTTTTCGTTCAAGAGTGGTGTTTGAAAAATGAACTTTTTCACATGGGTTCTATGTTAGGCATTTTTATAGATTAAACTTGGATGATTCTTTTTTCAGATATTTAAAAGAAGATGAAAAGTTTGTTAGCTTACTGTTCTGCTTGAACAAAACTGAGGTTCCTTAACAGTTAATTGCATGTTCTTTAAAAAGTATTTACGTTTGACAAATCATGTCAGGTATGAGCTGGGAAAATAAATGTTGGGGAACGTTAATGAGTTAGTAGTTAAACTGAGACAGTTAGTTTATGTTTTTTTGTTTTGTTATGCCTTTGAAAAAAGTTTCAATAATTATCAAAAATGTAACACGAATCGAAAATTTAAATAAAAGAAGCTAAGTTCCACACTAAAAAGCAAAATTATTTCATTTAAGTAAATTCGACAACACTAAGGATGCGTTTACTGAAATCCCTATTTACAGAACAGGTAAGTAATAATTCTCTCTCTGAGAAAATGTTATGCTGTGCTAAATTAATTCAGTCCAAGCTGCTGAATTTAAAATGCAACCTAAGTAAACAAAGAATGAATGAAACAATAATGTCGCTAAAACTTCGCTTTCTGCATTTTAGAATTTAAATTAAAAATATGTTGAATTGATGATGAATAATTCTCTACATTACTTGATAATCGAGTTGTGTACTTAATTGTTTACATTTACAAGGTAGGTCATCTTAAAAGCATAGATTTGGATTTTCAAATGAATAAAATGGAATAATTTGGATCACTGTCATGTTTTAAGGTAAAGAAGAACATTGAACATTTCTTCCATTGAAATAACAAAGGGAAACGGAAGGTTGAAAATACGTTTCCTCGATTCGTCTTACAGTCTTGTAGGTTTCCTAATGAGAGCAAAAATTATCGTGATGTGCACTCTATTATATTTTACTTCTATGAAGTTAAAAAAAAGATTTATAACTATCGTTATTTTAAATTTTATGTTTTTGATAAACTTAGGGGCAAGTCTAATATTTTTTGTCATAACACGCTTAATAATATTAAAAAACCTTTATTATAATTATAATAAAAGGTTTATTGTAATTATACTTATTTGTTTACAACAATTATTATTATTTGTCTACAAATGTATTACAATTATAATTATTTGCTTGTATACTTTTATTATTTTTACAAATTAATCGCGATACTTAACTTCATGTGCTTTAAAATATATCCCACTACCCTCTGTTTTACGTTATTATTTCTATTTTATAACCTAGCAACTTGTTACGAAAATATTTTTAAATCATTTTTCAAAATATTCGTATCCATTTTCCCTACTCGCTTTATATGTATCTTTTTATGCTTTTTTTATTTCGTATTTTTCTTAATTTTTTTGTGAATCATTAATTGGAATCTTAACGAGTCATCACTTTAAAAAAAAAACGCTTTTTTTCTTCTCATATTTAAGCCATTATGAAAAAAAATTTTTTTTGCACAAAATATTTGTACTATATAATGTAGGCTAGAGAACTAGTTTTCAGGATTTAACTGTAGAATTTACTACACATTGAGGAATATAGTTTGTACTTTAGACTTACAATTTCTGAACTTTGACTGTCTCATCAATATATTGAACGAAAATAGTTCTATTTTTTTAATAAAATAATTATAATTATGCATTAAATGACACCCGATATACTGTATAAACTCATATATTGATATGTTCCACCGTAGCTTAAAAAATACCATCCCTAAATACGCATCATTTTATGACAGGAAATTAAAAACCCCTTTAAAAAGGCATAAATTAAAGAAAAAATACCATTATTTTATTAAAACGGTCACAGTCAGCTGCTTGATAAAGGGTTAGCACAGTATACCTAAAAAAAAAAAATAAAATTAAGTAAATACAGGCTATTGTGGGAATGATATAAAAAAGTGGCTTTGCTGAATAGTTTAAGACACATAAAATATTTGAAATTATATTTTATAGCGTGCTATGGAAGAAAAATAGCTTAAAAAATCGTAATTACCAATATTGAGAACTTGAAGTCAATCTTTCGAAAAAAAAACCTAATATTTTTGAGTGCGTGGATAAATAAGTTGGCATTTAGCGGGAAGATCTAATTAAAAGTCAGTGGATAATGATCTAACTGTCAATTTAATAAATTTGATAAAACATCGCTTTACCCATTCTGGGGTGGGATATTGATTTTAGGCCGGGATAGCCTGGTTGGTAGGGCTTTGGGCCCATGTCCAAGAGTTCGTGGGTTTCCCCTCAGACCGAAGACTCCTCGTGTAGTAAATGGTGACTGATGCACTTTAAATCTGTCGAGTCGCAAAGTCCTCCATGTTCCCATAACAAATCTCATAAAAATCTTATATTAAGATGTTCACTTGACATTTTTGCTTTATTTGTTCTGATGTTTAAATTAAAGCATTTTTGTCGACCTTTTCTTGCAACTGCACTAAGATCATTTTACTTTTCCAAAACCCTAAGAAACTTTCACTTGGATTTTCATCCACTTAGATATTCTAAAATAAATAAATGCTGTAAAGTGTTAATAAAACAAAAATACGAGATTTTTACCTATCTTAATTTAAAAAAAAAAGATGTTACATATGCTTTTCATTTACTTATCTGTTCAATTAAAAAGCGATGTTGTTTACCGACCTTGCATAGAAATAATAAATGAATTAATTATTCTCGTTTAAAACTTTGTAAAGCCGTTGAGTAAGTTCTATTTTTTCATTGAAGAATATTAATTATGTTGAAAAAACTTTTTTTTGAGAATTTCAATTTGCAAGACGCATAAACTTGCTCGGACATATGTACGAGCTAAGTCCATTTTTTCTTCTAATTTACACTGGTGAAAACAATTAACTGGTCAAATGTTTTCTTAATATAATCAGATATCAGATATGGTCAGGTATCATCATCTTGGTCAGAAATTATCATATATAAGACTAATATATGAGAAAACAAAAATGGGCACAACTTGCACCCTAAATAAGAAAACTGGTAACTTGTGTGGCACAACAAGTGACCGACAGCCTTTCAGTCAGAGAAAAAACATGTCTAATAGGATGTATCATCATCTTTAACAGGAGCGAAACTCTCGCATGGGAGTTTCATACTGTGTACCAAGGTTCTTATCAATCCTTGTTGCAACCGCATTCACTCTTGCGCCAAGCACCCTCGAACTCTTTCATGGTTGTTGGAGCTGATCTTCGAACTGCAACTCAGTGTCCAAAGGTGCCCCATACGTGTTTGATGTGATTAGCACAGGGGCATTTCAGGCCACTCCAATAGTTGGACATTCTCCGATTGGAGGAGACCAATATATCAGATATCAGGGCCTCTGCTGACCACATAGTTTCACACTCGTAGAATGACTTAAAATACTCCAGAAATTTTTGTCAATAAATTTGCGACTAAAATAAATCTTTCAAACCATTACAGTTGTTTTCCCCTAAAGTTTCTGAGATGGAAAAGCAATACATATTATTATAGCAATATCAGACATTGGAAAAAGAAAAAGATTACAGTCAAACCTCGATATCTCGAACTTGAAGGGAGAGGAGAAAAAAATTCGAGATATCGAAAATCGCATGTTATCGATGGTAGAATAAAGAAAAATGCTCTTTACATACCTTATTTACTATTCCATATTTATTCTAAAAACACTTTTTATACTTTCATTTAAAAAAAAAGATCCAATTGTTGTTTGCTTTAGAGATGTGGAAGAAAGTTTGTCTCTAACACTTAGCTTTAACACTATAGCTTTAAATGTCTCCTCTGACATATTCGGCTGCTTCTCAATAAATCTCCGTACAGTGTCCACTGCAGAAAGTGCTTGTTTGTTAGTAACATTGGGCGGTAAATCTTCGATTTCCTCATCTTCTTCTTCTGATAGTTCACAAGAAGCTTTCGTTTGAGGGATGATATCGTCATCCCACGGACCACACACTGTTACTGCATCATAGACGTTTACAAACTCATGAAATTCCATGTCATCAAGCTTCATGAGTCCGGTCAATCTGTTCCAATCATTTTCGGTGTAGTTTTCAGCAGAATTAACGATATTGATTGTTTGACTACTTTCGTGAATCCAGACTTCTTGAAGCCATTCATTATCGTAGAGGAAGGCACATCATTCCATGCCTTGTCAGCCATTCTTAATTTTTTTAATTTTAGAGAAAAAATCTACACGATTTATGGAAAAAAATTCAAGTTATCGAGGAATTAGAAAAAAAATCGTGAAATCAAGTTTTTTTTAAACATTGAGTGTATAGGAAATTTGAAGGGAATTTTTTTTTCTTCGAGATATCGGAAAATTCGTGAAATCGAGGTTCGAGTTAGCGAGGTTCGACTGTATTTACCTCTACGTGAAAGTTTATCTTGAATCTATAATTTACATGTGCGAAAGGAATATTGAAATTACCATCTGTACTAACAAAAAATGAATGATTTTTCAGATAGCAATTTCCTCCCACCCGAAAGCATTACTTCCATATTCACGTTCATTCGACGTTTATTTTAGTAGAAATAAATATTCCCTCACATGATCAAAAGTTTTCTGATGTGAGGACTGTTACTGTAACGGTTAAAATTAATATTTCGAATCGAAAGATTTCTTTTTACTTGAGCAGTTGAATGATTGAGATTAATATATGTTCAGTTTATGAGTTCTTATAATTATAGAAGTATAAATAGGATATACATATAAAATTGCAATATCGTGACAGATCAGAATCCTTACTGAAGCCTTAAATACTGAATAAACTTGCTATCTTTTAATAGAGATTATTACAGGTTATCAACATACTCTGACGTGGATTAGAGAAGGAAGAAAAATTTATGGTGAGTATGTATTGTGTTAACCGTATTATCAATACACGTTTGAAAGTATTAAAAATTTCGATAATTTTAGCATGTTGCGTTATGCTTTATGCATTTATCTTACCAAAGTTTTCAAGAGTCGTGTATTCAATGACAGATGAAAAAAATAACAGGGACAAACATCACCTTGCTGTGGTTGTGCCTTTTCGGAATGCATTTGAGGAGTTACTTCAATTTGCTCCTCATATTCATAATTTTTTAAATCAACAAAGAATCCCTCATTCAATACATGTAATTAATCAAGCAGACAAGTATCGCTTCAATCGAGGATCTCTGATAAATGTGGGATATCAACTAACTCGCCACATTTGTGACTACTTTGCAATGCATGACGTTGACTTGTTACCATTAAATCCAAAACTAAGTTACAGATATCCTGGAAATGGACCATTTCACATTGCTTCTCCTGAACTGCATCCCATCTACCAATATTCAACATTTGTGGGTGGAATTCTCATACTAACAAATGAACACTTTGAACTTGTTAATGGTTTATCTAATCGATATTGGGGGTGGGGTAAGGAAGATGATGATTTCTACGAAAGAATACGTGATGCCAATCTTAACCTAAGCCGGCCTAACAACGTGGGTAGTGGAATGTATAATACTTTTCACCATATTCATGATTCTTCGGAACGAATTCGCGACAAAAGTGTTTACGGTGAAATTGAATCCGAGTTGAAAAGAGGTAGGTCTTCAAGAGGCCTTGATGATGTACAATACCTTTTACTTAAGACTCACTATTTAGTCATTAATCAAGTCCCTGTTGTAATGCATGTTGTGAAACTAACTTGCAATATAACTTTGACTCCTTGGTGCGAAGCTGGATATGAAGACCTCAAAGATTAATGGCGGTTTTAAAAGGCTTCTTAACCATTAATGTGCATAAACTCCTAATTTGCTATTTCATGTACACAAACTTGAAAGTTGAAAGTAGTAATGAAAGATATAAGTACTATGAAGAATACTGTTTGCTTACCTCAGTTCTCACGTCCACCATGCATTTCTTTAATTTAAATGAATTAATGTTTCCTTTGAATAAAATTTGTTTCAGAATACCATGAAGGTCAATTAGTGAACATAAATAATTTTACCATTTTTTAAATAACATTTAAAAATTTAGGTATATTGTTATAAAAATTTGGTCAGTTTACCATCGAAATTTAATATTCTCGTTTACCAAACAGCTATATGTAATGAATTCAATCTGTGATTGCATCACTTTGTGCATGGAGCTGTTCATTAAGATCTAAGTAATCTGTTCAATCTCTTCAACGTGGTAATTTAAAGTAGGATAATGCAATTTACACCGAAAAATTAAAAGTGTGAAACGGCTAATAAGCTTAGACACCGATGCAAATAAGTTTATGTTAAAATATAGGGAAATGAGGTAATATCATAGAATCACGTCGTAATAATTAAACGGTTCTTTCATTTTTAAACTCTTAGTTTAAAGAAGAATTAAAATCAGAAACGTAATAATAGAAGACTAAAATAAAAGAAAAATAAGATGAGATGAGATGGAATAAAAATTAATTCAAGTGAATCTTCTATCAGAAATTGAAGCAACCTCTTCAAATATCAAACAAGTAAGCAAAGGAGAAAATTGACGAACAATGAAAATTGACGAGAATTGATGAAGCTCACTTTTTCTATTATTGTTCATTTTACTTTCAGTTGTGTTTAATTCAAGTTAAAAGTTACATTAATAGATTGTAATCAATAATTTTAATAACAATAATGCTTGTTATCATTTAATATTAATGCTTTTACGCACGATAAAAAATAATTTTTACTATCAGAATGCTTGTGTTAGTTTTGAATACTTTTTTTTACAGTCGTAAAAGTCTCGTTAAGGTTTTGGTGACAATATTTGTTACCTCGCTATTTTGGTACTCGCTGCAACGTTCTCAGTTGTTCCTTGTACTTGCAAAAAAACCACATGTGTACGTGAATAAATAAATAAATAAAAACTAACTCAAAAAGTATGGATAAAACTGTATAATAATCTGAGCTTAGTATTTTTAAAGCAATTTAATTAAACATTTGAAGCAATCATTCTTGTCCCTTTAACTATCGTTGAGAAATTATATTAGTATAAGAAATAGTTACTATTCATCTAATTCCTATCAACCATTTAAATAAACAGTATAAGTGTAAACAGATGAACCTCCCTTTTTTTTTGGCTAGAGACAAAGACATTAAAAGATTAAAATTACCAAATGAATGGTAAAATGATTGATAGTTCTGAAGATCATTTTGGTAAGTTATCGTGATACTTTATTAGCAAGGCTAAAAAACCATTTATTTGGTTACAGTTAATTTTGAGTTCCGTATTTGTTATTGAATGTATTGCGAAAAGAACTAAAATTTTAGAAAACAGAATTTCCGGTAAACAGTAACAACAACGAATGGTAAAATCACCATACAAAAAGTTTAAATAAAATCTATTTTGGTTTAATTTTTAGAATTGTGGTTTCTTTCACTAGAAATGTCTTTACCATCCATGTATGACGATTTTGACACTTTTTTTCTTGCAAAAGTTTTCGTTTTTTTATAGTAACAACTTTCCCTAAGAAAACTAATACACAAAACTAAAAAGAAGACGTTAATAAAATAAAACAAAATTTTTTTAAAATCTATACTTTTAAGGAGGATTGAAAAGGACAAAATATTTCTTTTTCCGAAACAAAGAATAAAGCAAAAATGAAAAAAAAATTAAAAGTTTAAAAAAATAGAGCGCATAACATTTTTAATGAGCTTCTATCATTTTCTAAGTCTTTCAAAAGTTATGTGACTTATGTTTTTCATTTTTGATAAAAAAAAAACAAACAGAATTATTTTCTTTTTTTACTTTATTTAAAAATATAGTTTTTAAATTTTTTTAAAATTTTATTATTTTCATATTAATTACAGAGACAAACTATTTTTCACAATTATTTAAATTTCCATAAAAGTAATTTTAAGCTCCTCTGAAATACAGAAAGCAAAACTTGATAAATTGTTTTGTAAGTCTAGCTAAACTCTGCTTAAATATGAATCCAATGAAATCATGATTTATTTATAATATTATTTGTTCATATTGATTGCAATTATTCGATTAAATCTATGACAAACAAAATCTATAACAGAAATATGATTATCTATGAAATCTGTTTCAAAACAATTATTTGAAATATTCCATAATAATTCCATTCCATAATTATTGCTTAAAACTCAAACTAATGAAATTTGCTAAAATTTGTCAGTAAAATGTAGTATCTGAAACAAACTTATCTTGAATGCAAACATTCGTGATATCTATAAAAGAATCGAAAACAAAGGAATTATAGAATCGAAAGAATGGAATTATAGAATCAAAAACAGGTGAGTAATACATAGATATTCCGACTGAAATTATGCAGAAAATGGAACTGTTAGATTTAACTGATGAAGGAAAATTCATAATCAGGGAAGATTTATTTTTCCTTTCAAGCAGCTGAAATCTTAAAAATTTGCTTCCAAAGCTAGAATAAAATCAACCACACAGTCTAGCAGAGGACTTTCATGACAGTCACTGACTTTAAAGTAAGAGGCTTAATTGAAAAAGGTGTTTTAATATCTAAAATACAATAATTCCTAAGCTATTTGAATTTATTTTTCAAATGTTTGTGAGAAAAAAAGAAGAAACTTATGAATTCATTTCATTAGCACTTACAATGACTCGATACATTTTTTTGAATTTATATTCTCAACTAAAGCAGATAATTTGTGCTCAAAGTTTGAATTTACAAATTTTTTTATTTAAATATAAGCGAATATAATTTTTTATTGCATGCGACAATTATTCATTTACTATTTTATTAAATTTACTATATTATTTCCTTCACTATTAAAATTGCAAATGATTATGAAAAAAAGTAGAAACTAATGTATACTTTCGAATAGATCTTATAAAAATTCAATAAATTTTATAAAATTTTTATTCTCAACTAAAGCTAGTAGTTTGTGTTTAAAGTATAAATTTTGTTAACTTCGTTAAATTTTTTGATTGAAAAAAAAAACGAATTTATTTACTATAATTTTAAGTTTAGTATATCATTTCTTTTATTATCTTAAAATTCGCGTACAAATGTTTCACCGAAAAATAAAAAATATATAAATTCATTTGAAAAAAACAAACTTATAATGACTCGATGCATTTTATGAAATTACTATTTTCAACTACAGCAAGTAGTTTCTGTAAAAAGTTTTCAATTTTCATCATTTTAAACTTTCTTGATTTAAATGTACGCAAATTTATTTTTAATTACCTATAACAATTTTTTATTTATGCGAGAAACAATATTAATTGCAACTGTAAAATTTGGAATCCCTCTGTAGAATCACTTTTTTTCAAATGTGCATCAACACTTCTGGTCTAGACAGCTAGTTTTACAATTGTCTAGTTCTAAAAATTTGACTTTTATAAACCACTTCAGTAACTAATTTGATAAATAAAGAATAAATTTTAATTGCAGGGAGCATGACGACTTTTCCGGGCATGGGATCTTACGCAAACTCGATCCTGATAATGTGCTCTAACTCCCTTTAAAGTTTGTCGCAACGTTTAAGAGACCACCTGTTATATGTAACGTTTTTTAACTTGACTAAAAATGTCATTAAAAAACTGAAACTTGGAAGGAGAAACTGTTTGTATATTTGTATCAACTTTTGTATCAACTACACGAAAATATCTAAGATTTGTAAAAAAAGATATTATGTACCAGAAAAAAAAACATAAACAAAAATTGTTCCTCAGTGTCATTTATTACTATGAGTAATTAGGTAACATTAACTTGTCAAGTCGAATTTTATTCTAAAATAACAGAACTACGTTTCATTCCGACAAGAAAAATGAAAAAAGATTTGTTTTTGTCTTCTAAGTAGTTCTTCAAGTAATAGCGATATTTATGATTAAACTAACAAAGAATAAATTAGTTAAGAAGAATATAAACAAATGAACTTACTCTTAGCTTTATCATTTGATCTTAGTTTTGTTGCTGGAAGAAAGAAGTAACTTTCTCGAAGCATTTTTAGGAGATAATAATTCTTACTAACCGAATATAAAACGAAGTACAAGTACATTTATGCAAACTCGTCTTTTTTTGTTTTTTTACAGGCGTCCTTATTTCTTTTGACACCCATGTAGGGTAAACTAACCAGTGAAGGAACACTACCCAGTGAAGGAACATTTCATATACACTGGTTATCATAAATTAAGGAAAATTCACAAAAATCGCGATAACTCAAGAAATTACACANAGGAAGTCATCTAGCGATGTTTTGCATTACCTGGTCAAATAGACTTCTCTGGAAAAATATTTGAATTTGTTATTTTCTCTGCAACAACTTGTTTCTTTGAAAAAATTATAAGGTGAGTGTTTGCATGTATATGTTTGAAGAGGAATTAATTGCATGCAATAGTTTTATTTTTCTCACTGTGAAAAAGAGAATTCAAAATATAGTTATTGAAGATACGTTTCATTTTTTTTAAAGCATCATAGCATAATAAAGTACTGAGATAAGGGGGTGTTTATTCACTGGATCACCAAACGATGAAAAACCAGTGAAGGAACAAGTGTTCCTTTACTGGATGTTTTTCTAAGTTAATGAAAATAAAAGATAAACTTTAATTTTCTTGTACCTCTAGTGATGTTCCGCATCAAAAGTATGTTAAAAATACGAAAAACAACTTCTAACCAGTGAGGGAACAGGCATGTTCCTTTACTGGGCATAGATTTCCCAGTGAATGAACAGTATGTGTTAATATGTTGATACTTTAATTTTCAATTCATGATTACAAAAGAAAGTTAACATTTTCCAAGTATTTGTGTGTTATAATTTCAAGAATAGGCTTGCTTTTAAATATTTGTATGGCTAATAAATTCATAGAGAGCATTAAAAAATAACCAAAATTAAGTGTTCCTTTACTGGGTGTCTATTCACTGGTAAGAGCTGTTCCTTCACTGGGTCTTCTTACTACTAGTTATTTGAACCTCCGAAACTTTAAAACAATATTATGTAAGTTTTCTTCCTTTTTTGTTACATAATTTGCAATTAGTAACAAATATGTTGAGACTGTCATTTAACTAAAATTACGAATTTTGAAATTATTATGATTTTTTAAAAGGCAAGCGAAGCTTAAGTGTTCCTTCACTGGTTAGTCTACCCTACACCTTTCAAACATTTTTATTTAGGACATGGAGATACACATGTGATGTCCACGACAGTAATTTAAAAGAGAAAGGTAATACAATTATTACAAAGGCAGTACAAGTCTAGCCAGGATGTCAAATTTCGAAACTAATATTAGTTACAATTACATTAAAAAGCTGAAATAGAATTGCAACTAGTTATAAGTAGTGTCTTACAATGGATTAAAATTTGCCGAAAATCGTCAATGTTAAACGTTCAATAAATTCCAAATCTGCTTTAATAAATCTTATAACTATTTTAAACATCTTAAATTCAAGAAGTCTTAGGAAACCAGTAATATTATTATATTAAAACTTTAAGGTTTGCGAAAAGAAATAATGAACATGTTATTGAAAATGAAATTTCGTTTTTCTTATAAAGAAATATTCAAGCGATTGGAAAAAAATAGAGAAATTCTAAACTATAATTCGATAAATGATAAATGTATATGTTACCGGCAAAGTATGAAATCCGGCATTGTATAGAATGCCTAGGCATTGTAGAGAATGCCTAAAATTAGCCGGCAAAGCATGAAATTATTTATATTTCACACATTGCCTAGACATTCAATAGAATGTCAGATGAGAAACCGGCAAAGTATAAAATACATCTCCGATTCGTCAAAATGTCATTAAAATATGACATATTCAAAACGTCATCGGATTTTATATTAATTTATTCGTGGATATAATTAAATTTATTCGATATTTTAACACTTACTGACGATAGATTAGAAGAAATATCAGTGTTTGGAGTATCCGACAAATATATATCGGACAATGGCACTTGACCTTAAAAAAATATCAGTGTAGGGTATACCGGGCAAATGTATACCGGGCAGTGGCACTGAACCTTAAAAAAACATCAGTGTACGGTATACCGAGCAAATGTATACCGGGCTATGGCACTTGACTTTCAAAAAACATCTGTGTAGGGTATACTGAGCAGTGGCACTAGACCTAGTATATATTTCGGACATTTACCAAAGATCTAGTCCTACTAGGTCTAGTTAAGTGCCAAAGCCCGGTATACATTTGCCCGGTATACCCTACACTGATGTTTTTTTAAGGTCAAGTGCCATTGCCCGGCATACATTTGCTCGGTATACCCTACACTGATGTTTTTTTAAGGTCAAGTGCCAATGCCTGGTATATGTTTGCCCGATACTCCAAACACTGATGTTTCTTCTAATCTATCATCAGTAAGTATTACAATATCGAATAAAGGTAGTTATATTTGAATAAATTAATATCAAATCAGATGTAATAAATATTTCGGACACTCACCAAAGCGACTATATGATTGTCAACATTCACCGGTGAAAGTCAACAACCACTGATTTCAGTTATTTACAGTAACATACACATCATTTGCATACTAACCCCAACAGGACATCAGGAAGTTTATTTCATACTTTGCCTAAATAGCATTTGGCATTCTATAGAATGCCTAGGCATTTTATGCAATGCCTAGGGAAAGTATGTAATACTTCTCACATTTCATACTTAGCCTAAAATCATCCAGCATTCTATACAATGCCTAGGCATTCTATACAATGCCGGCGTTTCATACTTTGCCGGTAACATATATAATACATGTGAAAATGCTAAATAATAATCATGCTTATGTTAACCATAATTTTGTGATGAAATACTTTATAAAGTTGTTTAGGAAAAATGGCAAAGTTGTCTTAGGGAATTGGTATGAAACTTTCAAACTTTTTTAGTTGGGACTTGGGAAAACCGACGTGATATGTCACCTATGAAACCATCCCAAGGATCGTTAGAGTATTAAAAAGTGATGCCTTGTTTCGTCAAAGTGTAAACAAATATCGTAACAATTGCATTAAAAAATAAAAAATTCCTAAAATGATCTCTGCCGAAATTTTTTTACTGACACAAAATATAGATTTACATGCATTAACGTAGAAAAAAAATCAAGAATTAAAATGTTATAATTATTTTTTTAAACCATAATTATCTATAACCTAAGAATTACCCAGAACATAAATTTCAACTGATTAATGGAGAATAAAAAAATGTAACCTAAATAAACAGAGAATGAAAGAAACAACGATGTCTCTAAAACTTCGAATTTCTATATCTTAGTACCAAAATTAAAAGTATGACAAGAACATTCTAAAATTTCATTTATAAAATAAACAAAACCATTGTAATTCCTAAAATTGATAAATTAACTTTCTGGGAAGCGTATAAAGTCCTTTTTAAATTTTTTTTTATTGTGCAACAAAATGCGGCAGAAAAATCAACCTTATTTTAAGTTTTTTGGCATTACAATTTTAGCATTGAGTTTCTTCCGTTAAAATAACAAAGAGAAACGGAGGGTTGAAAATACTTTCTCTCGATTCGTTTTGCAGTCGCGTGGGTTTCAAGTCAAGTTTTACAACACAATAAGATTTGTAAAACATCTCCAACAATAAATTATCACTAATTTCATTCAGAGATTCATAAAACCAACTGGTTTGACATTTTTTTAAAAAAAAAGTAGTCATAAAAAGACTCTAAATAAGTGACCATTAAAATGACTTTTATTTTATCCATCAATGTTTTAATACAAAAAAAGAAGAAAAAAGAAAAAGTGCTGATACATCTTTAAGATGTTTTTGATTACTGCAAGTAGCAATCTTGACAAACTTTAGCAATAGCCATTTCTATGATATTCATCCAACGTATTCATGTAGCAGTTCTAAAATAAAAATTGTAACTGATTATTAAATCCAGAAAAGACCAAAATCCACAAAATTTACAAATCCTCAATTACACACGTTTAATGCGACATTCCTAATATATAGAAAGTCACTTATTTAACTATAAGCTATTATCAGTTTGTACTATTCCAAACATACATATATATATATAAATATATATATATATATATAGAGAGAGAGAGAGAGAGAGAGATAGATAGATAAATATTAACA